GTTAATCTCTTTGAAAAGTTGTAACATTGTTGGAAACCAACTTCAAAAAACATACTTTTTTCAGCTCTAGTATCAAGGAAGGATTCAAACCTGCTATTTTTCTCCAAGTTCTTTCATAAGGTGTGCAAGAAAAGGGAATAAAGAGTGTCTGGGATGTTACCTATTCTTTTAGGTATTATTATGGGAGATCATCTGTGAAACTTTCTCTGCTGCCCTGTAATTTACACCACTACTGCTGGTAATGACTGTAAGATATATATGAGCAGCACTAATGGGTATGGATCACTGTTCTCCTAGACTGCAAATAAAAGGAGCACGGGGAATTATGACACTGTATGATAGATCAATGCAGCTGCAGATTGGTCCTCAGGCTATTCAGGTTATTTTCCTTAAAAGGCATCACGCCTCACACATTCTGCTGAAGGCTATCCATATCCATTCAAGTCCATGACAGCTATTCTTAGACATTCCTTCATTTTTAACACCACTGCTAAGACTGCTAGTGTAATTTTTAATGAGAACGAGGAGACAGTGTGTCTTTTATCAGGTTCTGATCTACTTAGCTGAAATTAAAACTCTTTGTTATATTTTTCCCTATGCTTATTCAAAGGATTAGTGAGAAAATGTCACAGAACTGCTACTTGTGTCCTCATTAACATTCATGACAAAACCTTCCGGCCGGGCTGGTTTCAATTGCTGATGGAGCAATAGTTAAAAGAAATTGGCTTGTGTGTGAAACAGCTGCTCAGCAATGTCACTATGCAAGGGAATTGGTGATAATAAGATGATACTATTACAGCTACACTGGGAGCATAATATATTTTAAGCTGCTTTGAGGTATACAGTGGAGGTCCAAGAAGTGGAGCATGATTACTTGTCTGCTGTTAGGAATAGGAAACAGCTGATCATTAAGTGTCTGCTCATATGGTTTAGTCTTACACAAAGCCTTGAGGTAAGAGAAAAAACCATATGTGGTAGGATTCTTCACTTCCTGTGTGTTTCCTATCTGCTGGAAAGGCTTTTTGTTTCTCCTCCTAGTGTTTGGAAGGGTATGTGTTTCCCATTGCTGAAACACTCTCTGCCAGGACCATCGAGCACTTGTTGTTTCATAAGAACTTTTCTTATTTCAAGGTTTTATGTATTTGGCAAGATTCTTAGGAGAAGATTCTGTGGATCTTCACACATCTATTAGTGAAATCCCAGATACTGATTTTGCTTGAAATGACCATCCAGTATGTCAATGCAATGACAAATATGCAGATGATAGCACTACAGATGTAAACATCTGCACATAAGGCTCAGCCAAGAAACAACTGGCAGCTGGCATTTATGGTGTGTAGTGACTAATGCTAATGCACATCCCTTGTCTAGAATATGGAAACTGAAGGAAGAATTATATTGTCAGATCTTTGATTCTGAGACATCTTTGAACTACATATACTATGAGGAATAAATGAGTCTAGAAGAATGGAGCAGTCAAAAGTCCCAATACAGTGACAGCTCTTTAGAAATGTGGAGTACAAATGAATAAGAAATGAAAGATTATAAAGGGCTTAAGGATGCAAGAACTGTTATACACTTAAAAGAAAGGTATAATTTTTCTGATCATAGATGGTTCCAAATAGTTTAGTAATTTCTAAAGTTCTCTGTTACAAATTTAATCTTTAGCTGCCACTGCTTTTAACCATTACAGACATTTATTTCTTGTATAGATTTGGAAGTACGACACTTCAGGTGAAAGAAAATACAAAACTGACAGAGAAATTATATAGGTAGCCAGCAGGCTGAGGGAAGGGAATCTTCATCCCAGCTAAGCACTGATAAGGCCACACATGGAGAGTTACATCCAAGTCTGCACTCCCCAGTACAAGTGAGATATGGACACAGTAGTGCAATCCAAGCAAGGGGCAGTAAGATGAGGAGAGGACAGGACTACCTGATCTAAAAGCAGAGGCAGAGAGAGTTGGGACTCTTCAGCCCAGAGAGGAGAAGGCATAGGTGATCTCATTAATGTGCATAAATATCCAGTGGGGGGGATATATAGCCCAGTGACAGCAGTGGGTAAAAACTAAGAAAAACAAAACAAAACAAAAAAAAATCAGGAGATTCCATGTAAACACAAGAAAACACTTTATTGTGAAGATGGTCAAACACTGGTACAAGTTGCTCGAAGATGCTCTGCAGTGTCTATCCATGGAGATATTAAAAATGCAGCTGCACATGGTTCTGGGTGACCTGTGATAGCTGATCCTGCTTGGAGCAGGAGGGTTGACAAAGCCATCCCCATCACATCTCAGCCATGCTCAGATTCTGTGATTCTGTGTAAAAATGTTTTTCTCATCAGAGGCTAAAGAGACAATGTTCAAGTTACCAAAGATTGAATTTACTTTTAGATTAGATCATGAATTGGAACCTGAGAAAAAATCCTGAAAAGGAAAACAGATCTCCAATTGCCTCTCAAAATGGAAATCATAACATCATATCTATGCTAAGTTATCATATCTAAGCTCTTTGGTTGTGGGGCAGAAAAATTAAGAAGATAAGGCTTATGAAGGTCAGGTGAAAATTCTAAAGAGCTCACATACCTCTGAAAAGTCTTATGTTGCAAAACTTAGTATTACCCTAAGACGTCTAGCACAGCATTAAAAAAACCCAGGAAAATCTACAAGATATTGCTTTGATGTCCTTTCAAGAGTTCTCAAAATTGTATGAATGTCTGAACAAAAAAAGAGCTTGGCACTAACTACAGTTGAAATTAACTCCTCAAGGGACCAACACTGATATCTATCTCAGCATTACTTAGATATTCATATATTCTTTTAGTGCTTACATATGCTGCTCTTGACAAATACAGGTACTGCAGAAAACTTCCATAAAATCATCACAATTGGTGGTATCTGTTTTGCTATTTGCAGTATACTAGCATTAAATGGCAGAATTGTGTACCAGAATTCCTTTGTGCAATCACAGTATCAAATTAAAAAACAACAAAAAAGTGGGTTATGCTCGAACAGGTAAAACATGGACCTTAGCTATTTCTTTATACTGAAAAGCATCATAGCATTTTAAACGGCAAGAAATCTAGCTGATTTTGCACTGGAAGTCTATTAGATGAATATATTTTTCCATTAATGTCTTTGCCTTTCTGGAAAGAAGCAATTTTTCCATACAAGTGAACAAATTTTGAATAGCTTTAAAACAGCATTGAAATTCTGAAAGCATACACAAAGTTCAAATGCTCTCTGATAAGACATCACATTGCTAATTCCCTTTAAAACATCAATAATAAGATAGAAGAAACAACTTGGTCTTTTATTCCAATTTTCTGTGGAGCAGATCCCAGAGGGGAGTATTTACACCCAATCAAGAACTTTAAGCCATACCTTACCATCAGTATTAAGGCACAGAACTTCAGATTACTGAAAAAGCTGTAATGTCTTTAAACTCGATGCAATACAGAAAGGCCTGAAGTTGACAAAGATTTAGCAAAGTGCTGTCTGAGCTCTGTGGTCAATGAGCCCAGCATTTTCAGTGCACTGCATGGTCACTGAACACCAGTGATCACCCCAGTTTCCTTCAAGGAATAAAAAGCCCTTTGCATGCTCCAGATGGTTTGAAATGTCTGTTCTGCTTGCACACTCATCTTGCAATAATACACAAAAATTCTAGATTTATTTTTTTTAAGATCCTTTGAAAACAACTAATTTTTTTTAAATCCACTACTTAAAAAAATTATGCTTTTACAATGAAAAGGGAAGTCATCATAATTCAGAGCAGTTCACAGTCATCCCCACTTTCCAAGGACATTCTCTAAATTACATTAGCATCTGATCTGCTAGAGATTTTCCTCCAGCTCATCTTCATATTACACTTTTTCCATTCCTTTTTTGTATAATTCATTTTTTCTTCTGTGTCACATTCAGAGAATCAATATTAGGAAAAAAATCTTTAATTGGATAATAATACAGAATTACCATAAGGAGTTACATCTCACCATAAGAGACATCTTCACTTCTTTCTGAATGGGACCGAAGAGTTTTGAAGCAAGCTTCCAAGTTCAGAGATAATACTTCCACAATTCTCCTATATGTGTACATATGATCCATTACCTGAGGTTAGCCAGCTTTACTCACATATTTGCAGGATTTCCACCTACATGCAGTTCTGCAATTCTCTTTTCAATGCTGATTTACACCTCTTAATGCCAGACTCTTTTTAACTTACACATATGCAGAAATGCTCAGGGTGACACTTTCAATACAAATACAGATTTCATATTTAGATAAAACCATGATTTGAAAACTTGGACACAACCATAAAAATAGCTTAATGTTCAGACAAACACTTAGCAAATTGTCACACCATAATCTTGATCTTGAAAAGATCTTATAAAGGCTGATCAAAAGGAAATAAAGCCCTCAAACTGTTCTTTTCTGTTCTTTCTAGGTAGAAAAGATGTGTTCAATCAACTGCTTAAGTGGTTTGTATGATAATCTCTCTCAAACACATCTCGAGGCCTCAGTGTTGGGAAGCCAGAAGCCCTCTTTGAGACTCTGTACATCACAAGAAAATCATGCAGGAAAAAAACAACAGCCTTAAGGCTAAAAAAGGCAGAGTACACAAATCCTGCTCCGCAATAACAAAAATCATGGGAGATCCACTGTTCATCTTGCAACAGTGAACATAATTGCAAACCTAAATTTTGCATTTGAAACTAGGAGACAAAAATTATAAACCTCTCTATGCATATCTAATCTCTTTTTTCAACATTAGCCAAGCCTGCAGGCACTTAACAGTCTGATTCTTGATGTCATTGTAATTAAAGGCAATACTCACAAGGCTGATAAGCATACCAGCTGTATATAAACCCTTATCTTAGCAAAACTGAAAATTGCAAATGTGATGTCTAATTGTAAAGAATAGAGCATTGGAATTTATTATGGATATTATGGCTTTTAAATCCTATAACCTTGAAAATAAGTAAATTATATCCAGCCTACCATCAAACTTCTTGTGCCGGGATACGAAAGTCGTGCGTACAAAGTGACTCGTCTCCTCCACCAAGTTTTCAAACTCCAGTTTGCTCTGTTGGCTTAACTTGTCCTCCATTTCTGAGGTGCAGCATGTATATTCCTGAGGGCAGATTCTCAAATGTTCCCCTGGAATCACAATAAAAGAAGAAATTAGAAATATTTGAAAAACGATAGAAATGTGCCAGAACAAAAAAAAAAAAAAAAAAAAAAAAAAAAAAAAAAAACCCAGAAAAAAAAGAAAAGGAGTATTGATATATATACTCCTTTAGTTGCCACATTCAAGGAGCACACTTGGAAAGTTTAGATCAAGGNCCCACAAAAAACCCAAGGGTTTTCAGTTTTGGTGGGCTGCCAAGGAAGCTCTTTAAGGCTCGACCTAAAGAGTTTGACAGAAAACATCTTGAATTTGTATCAACAACTTTGCTATATCTGGGTATTCCTCGCAGGGGAGAGAAGACACACTTTGCAGAGTTGTTTTCATACTTCAAAAAGTAAAATTGCCTCACACCAAAAGTGTTCTCCTGTGCTGAAGAAGCCTTCCACATTTACTGAAGCATACTTAAAATTTGGAAAAACAATTGCTTGTGTTCTGTTTGTATTCAAAACGCCTGGAGAAATATCTAGTGAGATGACCTATTACAAGCTGCTGGATCTGTCAAAAATTGCAAAACAAAAACTATGTTGTCAAAACCTGAAGAAAAGAAATTATACATTTTTGTAGAAAGGTCCCACTTGCCCAAGTGCACCAAAACATAGTTCCCTTCTCCCCTTCCTTCCCCTCTTCTTAAGTGTATTTTAATGATTGTGTTTGGGTTTTCTTGGGCAGCATTTCTTGTCAGACTGAGCAAGTGCTCTGCTGAATAGGAGAAAGCAGTGAATAGTTTAATTAATGCTTATGTTATATGGAAATGCAATGTAAAAGGTAATGAAAGTCTCTTATGTAATTCAATAGATTTATCTCTTGAAGCACTCTGCCAGTTCTTCTGACAATATTGCTTTCTTCAGTACAATTTGCACATGGAAACCAATTCTTCAGCTCATGAAATTAAAATGGTCTGTTATTACATGAAATGTGAATTTACAATTGACACTGTACTAAGGGTGTCAGAAACATTTAGCTTGGTTTGTACAGAGGCAGAAAATTCTAACATTTCCTCTTGAGAAATAAAGAGAATGATCTGCCTGTATGATTAAAGTTACTTGTAAGACAATGAAAACATTTAGCTTTCTGTACACCGAATCCTGATTAAAAATCCCGCTGCAAATCTCTTAAAGGTGCAAATAAAATGATATACAAAGCCCAAGGGTTAAATAAATACTGGGGACCTGATTCTCATTTCTATTGAGGCTCCTTTCCACCACTGCTGAGCCATAAAGAAGACTAAAATGCAATTTATACCTACTTTAAGGCTGCTTTTCACCATTCTTATTATGTAGTGAGGAGAACCAGGACCTAAGTTTTATGCTTCCCAGGGGTATAATACATTTAGCTGCTGCATCATTCTGAAGACAGCATCAAAAAGAGGTTTGCACATGCTTAGAATAAACACTGTCTCGAGTTTGCCCTCACCTTATTCGAATTTATGTTTTGGTTCTCGAATGAAGTCTTTTAACTTGAAATTTAGTCATTTCTCAACCCTGACTCCTCACCCCATCTTAATTTGTTTTTTCTGCAAGAGTTTGTAATATATGAATTATAATGCCATGAGGTTTCTTTTAGCAGTCTCAAGACTTTTTAAAAGCTCACAGCTATACATCTTCAGAAAGGATCATTTTATTATTACCAGTTACTGTTTGGCAGTACTACCTACAAGTCCCCGTCATGTCCAAATGAACCATGATATAAAACTTTGTATAAAACTGGGAAAAAATTATATCCCATGACCATCAAAATATTGTAAGGATTGCTTTCCAAGTCTTCTACACTCTCCCACCACAAGAAATTAATTCCTCTCCATCCTCAAAGTCACACATCTAAGCCATAAACAACACATACAGGGACTGGTGAGCCAGCTGCTGTCAAACATAAAAGATAGTGGCAGACTAATGTTTGCCTTACCCTCTACATCTCTGTCACATTAAACTGCAACTATTCAACAGGTAAGGAAGGTGCCATAATAAGAAACAATAAAGGTTATTTCAGTAACGGTAATGTGAGTTTTTATTAGATGTCAGAAAGACAAGTAAAGTTGAAATATTGTATCATTAGAAGCAGTGCTGAGTGCTTGATTAAATAAAAAAAATACCCCATCCATAATGTCTGCAACCCCCTTTCCTCAATAAATCCCGTTTTTTTTCCTTATTAAAAATACCTACTTTCCCAGTTCCAGTCAGAGTGGTAGTTTATGCTTTTTATTATGATAATATCCTCTGGTGCCATTGCAACTGAAAATTTTTATAAAATGCACTTTTCTTTCCTCTCTTCAACTGAAGTTCTTATTCTTTTTTGTCTGGCTCTGTTTGTTTCTCAGAATTGTCAGCCTACAAGCTGGCCTAATGGTAATCATCATGTGCTTAGTAAGTAACACCCATGAGTCTAAATCTTTTAAGACATTATATTAGGCTGAGTATTATGACAAAATAAATTCTCTTGAATGGTCATTTTTGGAGAAATAGTAATTTTTTCTTTCTCTGATTTATTTAGAGTCTTAGTTTTGCTTTGCTACAAAAATTATTTCTCACTTTGCCCACTACAAACTCATTCAGATTCCTAGTGCACTGTTTTCTTTTACATGTATTTGCATTAAGTTTCCTCCTTTTAGTTCACTGGTTATTCTTTCATTCATGAGGCTCTTGACTGTAGAAACTCACATTTATCAGCAACACAGCTCCTACCTTACCTCATTGACTTTTTCTCCCAACAAAATGTCTTCTTCTAAATCATCTATACTAGCCACCCACCCTCATAACAAAACTTTGCTGTCCAATAATGAACTTTTTTTCGAAACACATTTCTAATTCTCTTCTCCCTGTTCATAGAATTGCATTACTGTAGAAATAAATATTAATGGAAATACTGTGCTACTTTTCATATTCTGCTTCAGGATTTTTGCTTCCTTCTCTTTCCTGCACTGGAGGATCAGGTCAGACTACAGATAAAGTAAAAGAAAAAGCATTTTTCATTGGTTCACAACAGCAGAGTCTTTGTATGCCTAAGATGTTCAAGCTAATTTTGTAAAAATAAAGCTTTTAGAAATTTTTGCTCATAAGCCCTGCAATGTTTATACTGGTCACGACTGTCTGCAGTTTCCAGAAGTTCATAACTTGGACAAAAGCTCATGTGCTTTTCTGGGAATTGCAAAGGGAAACTCTCTGACAAGGTAATTTCTGTATGCTTAATGTTTTTTTTTTTACTTTTTAAAAGTAAAATGTAAAAGTAAAAATGATTCTTATTTTGTGCTTGCTCTTATCAAACCTCCAACTAATGTTAGAATTGCCAGGTCGTTAGTTCACTCCTTGTAAAAAAAAATTTAAAAAATGGGCACGCTTTTCTTAGCATTGAAGTAGGGGGTTTTTTTGGTTGGGTTTTTATGTTTTGTTTTGCTGGGAGGGGTTGTGTTTTTGGGTTTTTTTAGTTTGGTTGGTTCTTTGATTGGTTTTTCATTTTGTTGTTGTTGCTAGTTTGGCTATTTTTAATTAAGAGGTGTGTGCTTTATTTTGGATTTTTTTTCTTCTTTTGTGACCTAAGAGGCTGTTTGGATTGAAAATAACTCTGCAGGCTAATTTGATTGTGCTTCCTCTGATTTTTTGAATTGGACCATTTACCATTTGCATTTTGTAAAACACTGTTCTATTACCACAGAAAGTGTTTAATCACTGATTTGTGTATTTACACACCTCAAGTATTTTGCAGGCTGAAAATGCGCTCATAACTGATGTACCAGTTCTTGCCTTGGGAAACTCCATATGGTCTAGGTTCTTATGCTAATTTTAGCAACAATTTTTGTGGCACAAGTGGCATTGGTTATAACTGCCTAGTTTTTCCTTGCTGCAAATGGTGTCTCCCCAAACAAGTTTGACACGACTGTAGTTACTGCACCAGGCTGAACAGCTACTAACTCAATATTTCCAGCCACCTACCACAATTCTTCTAACCACTGTTTCCAGCTGAAGATGCTGACCTACATATCTCTCCTTATGTGGCTTATGTTATATAAATCAAATCGATTGCCTACTACAAATTCAGCTACCAGTATTCAATTTCAGTTTTATTACAGCTGTAATCTCACACCTGCCTTCACATGATCCAAATTGGCAAGTTTTGCAGTTGAATTTGGCAATCCTGCTAGCAATGCTGCTTTGAAGTGTGATAAAGCAATTTATAAAGCACTTGTTTTATATTCAGATGTATTACTGCTTGGTGTCCTTAAAATGTGCTACAAAACTCAGAAGTCTTTAAAAAATCGCAACTTACAGCTCTCAAGCTGAATAAATGCTTTTACTGCGTATCAAAATGCCAGAACTGATCTGAGAGTGGTAACTACTTGCAGAAGATACAGTCTGAAGGATCAGTAAACCCTATGGAATATAACATTACCCTCAACAATTTAACCATCAGATTTCCTTAATACCTTGGTTATATTATTAGAAATGGAAGTATAATCACACAACATATTTATTATCAGGCAGAATTTTTTATGGGTCATGTTGCAAGTTTAGCAATTTTGGAAGCAATTCTTTCTGAGGCAGTCAAAATTTTATAGTTCTTATTCTAATCATAAATTTAAAGCCCTGACAGTGATCTGTTCACAGAATGGTAGGGCTAACTGTATGATGGGGAGAATAGAAACAGAGTCACTACCCTGCTTTAAAAATCCAGAAATGAATAAAAATTATTAAATAAAAGGGGTAAATTAAAGATGTGCTTTCAAACTTGATCATTTTGTATGCATCAACAGAGTCTAAAAGAAGAAAAGGTAGCTCTACATTCTTCATCTTGCAGGTTACATTGATGTGATTTGGCTTTGTTATTAGCTGTGCTCTTTGAAACTTGAAATACTTGCTTCAGACCTGCTCATATTCAGCCACTTGTGGAGAAAGCAGTGGAATTTATTGACAATATGAGCTTTAACAAAGACAATATCAAGTAGTGCAGCTGGAACAGAATCGCCACAGAGCCCAGCACATGCTGACACCTGT